TCGGAGGCGAAAAAATAATTTTTTAGATTGCATTGTTGATAAGTGAAAAGTCGTAACGCGTTGGCTGTTTACTTTTCAATTTTGGCAACGAGGAATTTGTGATACGTTTATTGTGCTCTAAAAAACGATCTAGTTCCCGATCATGTCGGCAAAATCGGACTCCTTCCGCTTGCCACACTTCCAGTTGACGGATATGTTTCCTGGAACGCACAACTTTAAGGTTAAAACAAGTCAAGTTGTGCTTCCGCACGCAAGAGCCATGAAAACGATTATTTGTTTTCTTAACAATATGCTAAAGGCCCGCTTGAATGATGGACATGTGGAAAAACCAACATTCCGCAGATTATTCACATTCTTAAATCGACTTTTTGAATTTTAATCACTGATGCACGAGCTCCAACACTAAGTGAGCAGTTAGAGCTACTTCAAACCACCGCTTCTGTCATTAAGTGCGATGGCCACCAGAGTCAGCCTTAAGATACAGGAGACATTTTCTGTGGAACATTCCGTTTAAAGCATTTACCACAGTTCCGCAGACGCTAATTAAATATTAAGGTGAATGATGCACATAAGGCGACGGAAATCCAAGCGGCCAACTCGATAAAGTAGAGAAATGTCCACTTCTAGACCGTTTCGGTAGTCTCCAGGCTTGAACTCTAATTGAGCAGTAGAAATGATCATACCACTGAGACTGTCATTTAACTAATCTAAACGAAGGGACTTCTGCAAAAAAATTCGACTAACGAAGGCAAGCGTCCCCTCATTCGTTTCCTTATTGTTGTTGACCCTTCCATATTAGCTTCAGCCTCACCTAATTTATCCAGTCCTAATTAACAAATAAATCCAATGTAAGCTGTTGATTCATAAATGTTCTCTGGTACCAATTATCAATTCAGAGAGCACTATGAGAGTCGCTATGATCGTACCAAATGGGATGCAGGAATGGATGCATATTTGTCAAACTCTAAAGCAAAAGACACAAGTCAAGCACGCAATGGACTAGAAGGAGCAATACAATCGTCATCCGGGGAATAAAGCCTGCAGCAGGAATCAGAGGCGCTGGTAGGAACCCAACAAGCGACCGCAGATGGGACAGATATGCTCCACATCTTTGCATGGAGGACAACACAGAGGAATCAGGCAGCAGAATAGCGGCCCACTGCAAAAAACAGCAAAAACCTTTCCACATTAGTTCTTATCAATTTCAAGCAATAGAGATCTTTTCCTGCATGAGACACGAATAATGGACAAGTCACAAGTCGATATCGCTTTCAAATTCTAACAGCGGTGAGGGGCTGGAAATCGATAGTTCAATTAAAGACTGAAGGTTAGCAAGTGTCCCAATTCGAATCCGCCAAACAACATTCATGTATAGAGAGGTTCTCTACATTTAACCATTCAACTTGTGCGAGTAAAAGAACTAAAATGCAAACCAATTACTCTCAAATTCTATCATGTCTCGTAATAAAAGCAACGCCATCAGGAAACTACCTCAAAGGGCCGTATTATGGAAGCGACTTTAAAAAGTACGACTCTAGAACAGAACAACGCCGTAATTATTGCGGGAACCTAAATATGGGTATCGTCAGTGAAGACGACTTAAATGAAGCACGACACAGCTTCGCAGGGAATATGGCGAAAAGCAAAACATCTTGTGTTACATTTAACGGTGACGAATGGTAAGCTGTCAACAGGTCAAGCAAACCTCTTTCTTAAGGTTGGAATGCGTGCTCCTACTGCTGATCACTTAAGTAGGAGCTCTAACAACTGACGCACCATAAAAGCGAGATTAAACACAGCTAATTGTCCACGTTCATAAGTATAGCCGCCCACCAACCCTATACCTCTTGATTCTAGAGAGGCAAAAGTACTTCACAGGTCTGGAATTGTTCAAGAAGTCGTCAAAATGACGGCCATTCAAGCTTCCAGAATTTCCCTGAAGAAACTAAATGTGCTCCAGAGCGGGCGCATCATTTAGATACAAAAAGCCATGTCTGATAAGTAAACATCAGCTGCTGTCAGTGCAGTGATTTCGAACATGCATACATGCAGATTTCCACACCCTACGTGAACAGCACTTCAGACACCAACCACCACTGAGATGTCCCAACCGTGTTGGAATAGTTCCTATGCCCTCCAGGTGCAAACACCGCTCATATCAGTGAGTTGTATGCAAGCATCGGTGGCTATGTTTGGGACGACTGCACCACACATATGATCACGTATGGTAGGCATTTGATTTCTATTCTACACTAACTTCCAACACATATCATGTTTTCGGCAACTAACAGGAAAAATAAGGCATCCGATGACAGTTTTGATGGGAAAGCACGGACGTGTGAACACACGCGTCTATAAATGCAATCACGAACTAATAGAACGGAACCACACCAAGCACCACAAAAGGAAGACGTACCAGAAGATGAACAGTATTGTAAGATTAACAAACATGATTTGCAGTAATCAAGCACAGTCCTTAATACAAATCAGAAATGAACTGATGCAATGAATGTCTTCCAGATTATCGGGTACCAAAAAGTAAGAAAATATGAGTGTGAAAAGAAGTAAAGAATTGAGGCCTCTTTAAGCATGAGATTGTAAACGCCATATTCAAAGGACTCCTATAAGCACCCATAGCAGATGAGAACATGGTGAAACGAAGAGGGAAAGGCGAGAAAATGAATTGAATAGTTCACAAGCGACCGTGTTTCCCGAGGGTTTGTTTGCAATGCGGACAGGTATGCACCACGTCCTTATCGCAGTCGCAGCAAAACGGAATCAAACAACATCCCAGAGCACCACTAAAACGGGGCAATAGATAGAATGTTTAAGGACAGTCTAGAAGGATCTACAGAAGGTAAGTGTGGAATTACCAAAGCTCATCCCAGAATTCCAGCACCAGAAAGTGACGTAATGCGGAGTAGTGAGAAGAAACCCATTTGAGAGACACCAATGTGGATAACAGACGCCAATCTTCACGTAAAGTCCAACAAGACAACGCTTCTAGCTACGCATCATGTGCAACACTGGGCAAACTTGTGAACTGTAACGCTAACTACAAGGTGTACACATTCCAATAACGATAAAATTAGTTCAACCAATACATGTAAGGAGTACATACTGGGGTCTGAACATTGGTGAATGTGTGCAAACGAAGTGGCTTTTAGTTGTAGAAATCTTAAATAAAAACACTTAACACTCCCAAGGAGTCATTCTGACGGCTAGTTTCCACCAAACCCATTAATAAATCGTCCAAGCAAATAAACTTAGCTATCACCACAAAGCTCCACCAAGGCAAAAGCAACAAAGTTCTCGGTGGAGATGGAAATCATGCAAACAAGGTAGAGCTGTGCAAAATGGCCTACCCGAGGATGCAGATGAGAGCGACCAAAATCCACGTGAGAAGACCCGACTCGTAGGTAACGTTGGTTAAGACTTCTCTCTGACATGTAGGACAAAAGAAACGCGAAGGACCGGATCCCAGTGCAGCAGGGGTGTACACCACAGTTGCTAGACGGCAGCATAAAATGTAATAAACATAAGAGTACAGCAAATCCTAGTGATTCAGAACATGTAGTGACGCTTTGAAAAATACAACAAAAGGCCCACAAGAAAAAACCTCTTATTCACAGCTGTTTAAAATTTATGGCAGAACAGAGGCACGCAAAATCATGCTACAACAGGATCAATTTTAATAATAATGCCAAGTCGAATTGAGGGACAAAGCCTCATCATTGTCATAGTTTCTTGTCTAGTCACAGACAATTTCGTCTAAAAGATGCAAACCGATGAACCCACACAAGGTGATTAACACCGTTAGGAGACCATCGCGATGAAATGAGTGGGCGGGGCAAGTGAGCTGCAACAACTACTTTTGATGTAGGTGAAGCGCGGTGAAAAGGTGAAAGCCACTCCATCTGTCTGAATGTACTTACTGGGTTGTTCCGTGAACGGCCTTTGTGGAGGATTAAAACCACCTAGGCAAAAAGCATTGTTTACATAAGAGGAATACAACTCTCTTGGTACAATACACCACTTACAAGTGGAAAAAAAACTAGTAATCACAAACCTAGAGTGAAATCCCAAACAACTTCGTTAAAAATTGGCGGGAATAAGTAAGATGGGATAGGTTAGTAGAGCAATTTAACCAAGGGAACTTCGACAATAGGGCACATTTTAGGTTTTTGTATATGAACTGATGAGTCCTGTAACATAATGGGGATAAACGGCTAGCCATTATACCACAACCGCCACCCACAGACACGAGGCAGCGATAAAGTTCGTGTTTGGGGACACACACATGTAAACGTGAATATTCAGGTGAGTATAAAAAACATGGATACGTGCATCAGCGCGCATGTAGTGAAAAGTGGATGGTCACCTTGAGGAGGATAAGGTTGGGCAGGTTGACCCGGAGCAGCTTGATAGGCTGGAGGCGGTGGATAACCTAAAAGCGTAAACAAGGGATAACTTTTGTAGAAGCAGAAGGGGATGAAAACAACAGGCACCAATTTCAAACAGACAGTAACGAATGACATCGAACGAAACTTGACAAACTTTGGATTCGAGGGCTCCAAACAATCACTTCAAGCGTTGAAAAATAACAAATTATATGCTGTACAGTATACTGATGCTACAAGCATCAAAGTAGGTAGACTTGATTTCAGTGACCATAAAATACGGAAATGTTTTACTCAGCCATTGAAAGTCACTAGTCTGAAAATAAATCTTCCAAGATCAGAAAAGAGAAGGCAAGCCAAAAATAAGAACTGCAATAACGTGCACAGGTTCGCAACAAATGTTCTTACCGGACGGGTAGTTTACCCCTGGAGGGGCTGTCCCAACGAATGGTGGCACTACTTCCGAGTATGGAGGGGGTGCAGTAGGCCCAACTCCCTTATCCGGTACTATTAAGGCAAGTAAAACTTTTAGAATACAAGAGTGCGAACAGATCTTATCAGAGGTGGCAGATAAGAACTACGTTTCATGAAATTGCTATTGGTACACAGGAGTCATACCTACATACAAGTAACGACTAATTATAAATAAGATGGTCGGGTGCAAATTACCGGTACCCAACTTCATTGAGGCTCAACATAAGTGATTTGAACCATGACGTGACGATTCATAAAATAAGGCATAGACGAGCGATCAAGCAACACTCACCAGACGACGACATCAACCAAAAGCAGGTGAGGAAGCCTGATTAAAATCTGCCAGGAGTTAGGTTATGGGTACGTTATAACAAAGGTTTAGAAACGTAGTGTGTTATAACAAATCTCACGCGAGGACATGATATGTATAACGTATGCATCTTAATAAAAAGTTAGGAATAAATATAGTCCAATAAGCAGAATACTTGATTAACAAGTTTAACGGAGGAACCCCTAACGTGGACGCGGCTACAGAAATAAATGAATCCATGGTCAAAATATTTTCATTTCCATGGGCATAACTAAATCTCAATGTCACAAACCTGATTAACAATTGTAATGCTTTGTCTATGTGGCTATCCGACGTTTGGCAGTCACTTTAGGATTTGTCTGACCCTTGTATTCTTGGGCTGGCCTTCGGGCCATGCTCAGGCCCATTTGCTCTGTTTTCTTCGGAATACATGTATTCAGTTTCTTTTACCGTCTTCCTCCACCCTATGGGAAGTCTCGGAACGCTACACGGATAAATCTACAAAATCTTTTATCGTCCTCCTCAAAAAGTTAGCTTACCCAACTTTTAAGCAGAATAGTTATATGCTCCTTGAATAACACCCTGCTTGATATTTTGACTATTCGACCATTTGCTTTTGTAGCGTTAAGCGGATTGTATCTGAGAGCAAAATAATGCGCCACGTCTTCTCCTTCACATGCGTCAAATGCTTTATACTAAACAACTGGGAATTCTGGAGGCGTTACAATCTGGTGTGGGTGAAAAAAGCATGTGATTCTTTGTGTTCTCACACATTGTACTTAAGCATTGTGTCATTCTTAACAGCACATTGATCATTGATCACCATCTGAAAGGACGGATAACTTCGTTTTCCTTACCCACCCAGGACAGATGATGTGCACGCGGCAGGCGTGGGAGATTCAATCCCCACCTTGCACAGAAGGACTGGAAATGAGGTTTACACCTTACAAGCATTGCTTGGGAAAGGTGCAAGCGTTGTAGGCTGTTTACCGTGTCCTTGATTTGGCATCAATCACGCAAAATCTTTTCCTCTTCTCCACTTCTCAAATCTTCAGATGTATCCCAAAGAGAAAAAGGTCATTTAGTTCTGAAGTATAAGCGAATTCGTGGCAAGGTAAATGGAAGTTAACTTCTACTCTCACAGAACTGTGACTCCACTATTGAGTCAGAGCGAATGCGACTAGCTGTATGTGGTGTGCAGCGATGTCCACCTCATGGGCCGTCCTCAAATTTATTCGCATGGAAAGATGCAAGAGCTTGAAATGAAGTTTGTGTGCATAGTATATACAATACTTTAAGCGTTTATTTGTGTTAATAAGGCAGTGATACTTTGCTTGTTTGTTTGTCTGTTGGAGTGGAGACCACTTTGGCCTCCGTCTTGCTTCTTTTATATGATGCGGTCCTCGAGCTATGTCACAGCCCTTTATTTACACTTTTTGCCTGAGACTAAACATTCAGCTTAGCCCATGATCCCAGTTACTAAATAAGAGGTCTCGAGACGCTTCAGAGACATCCACGTCTTTGTCAATAAAGTGCTTTCGCCAGTTTAGATACCTACTTTTTGCGTTATTCTCTTTCTCTATTAAAGCCTTTTGAGGCTATTACTACACATAAATTTCTTAAACCTGGCTGAGTGGACAAATTTGTGGGCTTCATCAGATTAATCCGTAATGCTTCGTATACTTGACTATCTGTGTAACTAACGGTCACTTTAGCATTCTATCTTACTCAGTTTTATAAGGGCTGGCTTTTTACTAACAAAAAGCAAAACCATTTTCTTTTTGATGTGCGTATTTAGCCTTGCTTTGTGCCTTATTCTACCAAATAGGAAGTGCCAAGGCATTACTCTGGTGTTGACGGAAAGTGATTTCGATTATTTTAAAGTCTAATAACAATTTTTACAATTTGTGCCAATCTTTTACGGTGTAAATAAAGATCGTACCTCGAGAGGAGTATTCCTAACTTCTTTACAACTAAAGGAATGAGAACGACCTTTTGGTCCGTATTCTATTAGCATGGCCATAACGGCCCACAAATGTTTCTTTCCGGTGATTCCACTGCACTGAACCATTTCCCAAGTGGGTTGATGATATTTACCCGTTTAGCATTTGCATTAGACCAGTGTTTCGATGTTTTCCCCAGACATAACTACTTTTAAACTGAAATTTCTGTCTTGAGTTCCAAACCAAGAAAAAACGTAACTCTAGCTCCATTTGGAGCATCCAAGAAAACAATCAAGTACAACTCACCAGTCTCATGGGATTTAATGATTGTCGCAGTTGGCCTTTGGGTGCTGTACCGCCCAAATATTTCCACCACGTTGAAGAAGGTATCATGCATACAAGGGCAGAACGCATTCCAAAGTGTAGTGCCCCGAGACTTCCCACCGGGTGGAAAAAGACATTAAAGTGGAGTTTAATGCCTGTACTGTGGAGAGAGCAAAGAGAGTAATCCTGAGCTTGGCTCGAAGGCCAGCCTACACGTACAGGGGCCAGACGAATCTTAAAGTAAACACCGTATATTATGAGTTCACACAAAGTGTTACATTGCCTCTCTCCTTTCCAGCAACATCCTCGACGCTCTCACTTTGTACACCTTCCACGCCAGCAGTCACAATATATTCGGTACTGCAGCAAAGCACCTATGAGCCAGCCGCGCCAGTCAGTGTTTGCCGCAAAAATGAAGAACGGTACTTGGTCTCCCCAGCAGCTTCAACTGAATCTGGAGTTACGTTCGGTGTGACAGCCAGAACCCCGGCCGCTTCAGGACTAGACGGCAGAACTCTTATCTAAAGCGGATGCGTTATGGGAAAAACGGAATCAGACACAGTCTCGTATATAAGGAGACTCGTACTGCTGTTTTCAACATCACTGCACGGATTCTGTAGGGGAGTTCCGACACGAAAGCATTCCAGATGTATCACGGCGGTGCCGCCTCAGTTGCTTCACATTGTCAGTAGAAAATGAGGACAGGGTGAAACCAAACACAGACATCATTCTCAACACTCGTGTTGTGAGGCCTTCAAAGATTCTTTAGTCTTCAATGTAAGTGGACCACCTCCACACATTAGGTACATGTCACAAACAGTATGCACGCTACCACCAACATAGGACCTGCCTGACCACCCTCGGACCTCTAAACTTCGGTTTCTAGGACAATGAGTAATTAAAAAGGCTTTATTGAGCATCGTATACAGAAAGGATGGAAAGGGGAGAGAAATGATGAGGCGGAATGCCATCGTCACCCTGAGGACGTTTCTTCAGGCTCCTCACGAGCTGAATTTGTGTTTGAGATGTTTTTACTCCTCTGCTTCGTAAAGGCCAATTTAGACAAATTCGTATGTGTTACACAAAGCACATAAACAAGTATAAATAAATAAGTATTACTGGAGTTTCCTTGTTACACCAGATGCAGAGTGATGGCTAGATCAGAAAGCGTACTGAGGGAACCACCGAGGAATCCGCTTAGCTAAAAAGCAATACTATCTTTGTAATGTACTCCAGTGTTTGAGCTGATCCTGATAGCAGAGAGGCGGGGACCAAAATTGGAAAGCGAATCCCGTGCGTTAAAACCGTGATAGATCCCTCTTCGTGTGTTATCTACCATCCGGTTCACCTGTACTCCTATCCCCGTTCTACCTGTAATCAATGACCAATAAATCTACTGCAGCTAAACCCCTCTTGAAGGCCGTGGCTCAGGAACAGAATTATACAATGTTTATTTGATTACCTGTATAACTAATAGTGATTGTGGTATTTAATCCACCTCTCGTTTGCGTAAAATTAACTTAGAGCTGAGCTGGTATAAGAAGTCAGTAAGTGCAGTTGGATACATATATTTTGAAGACGACAGTGCAAGTGGACCTGAGCATGGCCCATAGGCCTACCCACGTGTGCAAGAGCCAGACAAATCCTAAAGTGACCTCCAAACGTCATGTGGTCACATAAACAAAGTATTACGATTTTTAAATCTACTTAATACCTTCTTCGGACAACTAAGAAGTCTCAAGGCTTTTTTTGGCGATATATATACATTACGACTGCTCCTACTGCGCTTAGACGTTAAAGTGCCTCCAATTAGATTTGATTTAACAAGGGCAAACATGTTATTTTTGAGAATTATGCTAGATTTATCCCTGAAATTTGTACGCTTTAAATTGTTTTCTAATGATATTTGTTTGTTATGCGATGTTTTACAATTAATATATTAGTTTTTACCTTTTTAATCTTATACTTAATCACGTAGTTTGATTTTCTTTAAGGTTGAATACGTCCTTGATCTCGTGTGCACTATTGAATGTGCCAGCAGGTGCACTGCGTACGCGGTGATAGGCCATGGATGATATAGGTAGGAGTTTGATTATGTCACAGTAAATGTACAGAGCTCGAGAATGTGCGAAAATGCTTGCATACAATTCAGAGGTCTTTTCCAAAGCGTAGTGGGAGCTGCAGCTCGCGCCAATTGAATAAACTAGTGGCCATCACGGATAGCAAACTCTTTGAAGAAATCGTCACAAGAAAGTATCGATATGAAGAATTTATCGTAAAGAAAGTGCGTATATGTGTAGTTTCTTTACGTTTCTTAGCTGGAAATGTTTAAGTTTCCTTTGTCAAAATGCGCTTACTTTCCTTTATTAAACATTTCCTGGATTGCTTAGTTCAAGTTTCATTCAGTAGTTAAGTTTATAAATTTAAAATCGAACGTTTTAAAACCTATTTTACACTAAATAAAATAAAAAATTGGTCTTCACTTTGTTAGTATACTGCTAAATATCGCTTTATTGGTGGGTATAATATGAGACGTTGGTGTGGTAAAATGGATCTTTTTAATTAGTTATTTCTTGACTGCTACTTACGCCTGCTTGTTTGTTCATACTATGTTTTTTATGGGGCTATGCTCCTTATTATCATATCCTTTTATTATCCTTATTACAATGTCCACTTCTGCTCACACAAACTTTTTGGGGATGAAATACAAGCAACAACAATGCTAATTATTTGCCAGCTTGAAGTTTTGCAAATATTTATTTTTGCCGTGGCTCAGTCACCAGTAGCTGTGTTACTCGTGAATTAATTTGTTTTTTGCTTTGCACGAAATTTATCAAGTTTTCCCAAGATGAATCACAATGTGCCACACTCTATATCCCTTGCACCTCAAAGACTTTTTAATTTTGTACCAGTTGGGGATGAGTTTGGTTCTTGATTTACACGTGTAGTTGCTAATCAATGTTCTTGTCAACGAGAAAATTTTCCACCATGCATTTAAGATCGACAAAGTTACACCAAGCATGGCACACAAGATGTCGTTCGTCCCACGACTTCAATGACATATGTTAAGTTATTTATGGTTTGTTAGGCTTAAAAACCTTTGTATCACCATGGTGTCATCGCTGTACTGAAAACCTGAGAACGTTGCTCTTATTTTACGCACTTCCAATGTTTTCAAGAATTAGTGGAGCGCCATTGAATCAATGATGTCAGCTAAAGATTCATACAAAAATGTTCGTTTATGTATTTTTTAACCAATAAAGAGGCGGATAAAGCGACGTCGATTCAGTCTCAATACGCTTGCAGAGGTTCGGTGCAGTGGAACAGAGTTTAATAAACGTATTCAAGCATTTGAATTACCGCAGGAAGGGGAGATCCACGAAGTGGAGATCTTGGACCTTGGTAACGCTGATTTTGAAGATTCTTCACCAAGTCAGTCTTCGACAAATCCAAATAAAAGTTTGGATACGGAAGTGGCTGACAGAACTGTTAACTGGAAGACTGTTGGACTGCGATTTGGACAAATTCGCTCTAAGAACACCACCGAAGAGGGATTGTACATAGCCGGTGTCAAACAGAATAGCCCAGGAACAGAGTGCGTTGCTTGATTGGCAATTTTGATGCTTTATAAGTGCGTATGCTATTTTTAAAGTTGTCCAAGGCACGATTGGCATAACTTTGTAGAAGTCTTATGCGAGGTGATCGAATTCTGGCAATCGAAGGAATTGTCTTTGACAAGCAGACCTTAAATGCATTGAACGGGGATGCTCAGATGGCTGAGGATGTCTATAGATCGGTTTCAGCGGCCATTACAACCCTGTATGAGGTCGCAACTAGCGTTCTCGATGCCTGGATAAGGAAAAGATGGTTTAATCAGCCAGATGGTCGACGCAGACCAATCCATCTCACTATTTCTCGAAGCCCTTTAAAGGCGAAACCAGTCACCTCCGTGGCCGAGTCAGATTACATGGCAGTGCTTTCTAACCCACATTATGGACCGCTGGTGGAGTACCCTCAAGCCATGCAATACGAGGTAAGGCAACTGCTTGGGCTTGATTCATAAACACTTTGGCTTAGGATTGGGCATCTGATCGTTTTGTTAAAACCTATCAATCATTTTGAAAGGATCTTGACCGATTTGGTGTTACCTTCGATAACAAAGCTTTAAGTTACGGCAATCCGCTTAACTATCTATTTCATCTATTAACTTATTCGAGTGAGGCAATTTCGAGGTCACGATAATACCATCTTAGGTGGTTTGAAGATGATTTGCTGCTACTACTACTCCTAGGCTTTTCTCGTTAAGTTGCTCAACCGGCTTAGAGTTATTAGTCATTTCAATTACTTGATCAGAGTAGCTATAGCGGCACAATTTCAATCTTTAAGTCGACGTAACGAATATCAATTCGGAGGTACAGTTGTTTGCAAGCGTCTCCCTTCAATTCGGTGTCATTTGTCTTTTGCGATGGATAATACACTTAATATGAACTACTAAAATAATTCATGATCACGGAGGTAAAGTTGGTAAAATTTACCAAGTATCTATTGACAAAGGTGATTGTCAAGAGGAAATAGCTCACAAGTCTGATGTATACAAGACGCCAATTTTCCTTTCTTCGGGTTAGCAGATTCTCCATTCACTGATACCTGGTTGCTATCTGCTCCAAGTGTTTGCGTTTTGAAATCGCACTTAAAAATAGTTTTGTTTGATTATCGTTGAATCGCCTCTATGTCTCGTTGACAGAAATGATGTCAGCTCAGGCTTCTAACAGCAAAAAGTTTCGTAAGCATTGAATGATTTTTGGGTTGCATTATAAGCTGATGTTCCTTCCTTAAGTTCACACATTGGAATAAACCACAATAATTATCAAGAACTGTTTTGAACTTTGAGGATAGATGGGAATCGGTCTTGTGGTGATCATGAGGAAAACACTGCAGACGGAAAATGGGCGTGAGATTTTAAATAGCATTACAAGGAAGAAAAGCGAGCAGAATTTGATGGTACCATAGGGATATGTAAAGTATCAAAATGCAGCTCTCAATACTGCATTTCCCCCTAATTTTAAACCTCCCTAATTCCGTCTTAGACCGATAGCTATGGCTCCTTCGCACAGCCTGAAGAGGAACTGATGGAGATAGAGATGATAGACTTCCCGAGGACGGGCTTTGGAATTGGTGCTTTTTTGACTCCAGGTGCGAACGGTCTGGGCGCGCGTGTGGAGCGTCTGGCCGAAGGCGAACTTGCCCAACTGGTGAGTCTATTTCCATTTTCTCCATACGGGTGCATCTCTGAGAGTTTGCACAACCGCGTGATAGCCTTCCCCTAAATATGTACGTTTATTGTTTTATATTCTCAGTAGGCCTCTCTGCGTCTGCGATAACATATCTGCACGTCATTTGGAGTAGATTTTATATGTTCTATGCACATTTTGCAAGCTTGATTGCCATTTACGCTTTTAGTCATTCGGAACATTACCTCTAACTAAAAGACGTGCTACTTTTTAACCACATCACTAATTTGCTCTCAGGAAGTTTTCTCTGATAAGAAGCTTTTGAAGTGTACGTGTGTGTGTGTGTGTGAAATTTAAACTACAAAATTATAGCCGCATTCGTTTCAATTGCTTACTTGGTTTTAGTTTTTTTAACCTTTAAAACTCTGCTACGCCTAAAATATAGCGGTCTTCATCCCAATGTGATTGAGTTCATTCTGGGAAGGCTGATGAGTGAAAAAATGGCTTACATGACTCACGTCGGCGGTTTTTCTCGAGTAAAATCATGGAGTGGCTTCCTTTGAGTGGAGAAACGGAGTGGTGAATAATTTTGTAAAGAAAAAAAAGCCTAAACTTCACCTTATACCTTGGCGTTCATTGTGCTCAAAGATCCTAGAGATTCATCGCGTTTACTCCTTATCTCATTATGCATGCTAATATATACGTCTAATCTGCCATGATGTGTTGAGTTATGGGCGGATTCTCTGGTTTCCTTATTTACTTGTTGAAGAATCGAGTAAATCTGTCCCTCACTCTTAGAGCCTTTAAATGGTGTAAATAGGCAGCCTGACCCCTGCGATATGTTTTGCGATGGTTGATGCGCTTCGCAGTCCTGTCGATGCCTAGGTCAATTGCTACTCACGGCGACATAGAGGATGCCAAAGATGCAAAGTTAAGGTGCTGATACAATGCAAGTGTAGTAATTGTTCCTCCAGACTCTGCTAATTAAATAAAATGGATCACAAATCAATTAGCAGGGGTGAAGTATCTCAAAACGTGTAGCAACTATCGCGCATGAGGGATTTGCACTGCGCCCTAATTGACGATAGCAGCACCAGAGCATTCTCGTTACAATATGGTTTACTTGATTTGCTAAACCACTTTCCGCCCTTTTAAATGGTTATACGTTTGCTCCAACTCTTTCTCATAGGTCATGAAGTCAAAAAAAGTAGCACACATGCCCTACTTTGCTCAGTTCTCCAGTCATTTTTGCTTACGCTAATTGTGGGATTCTCAATGAATAATTGAGAACATTAAATGCGGTGATACCAAACACTTGGCGTGGTTGGTGCTTTTACAGTAGTGCTGACTAAATACACAAGTGTTGCAGAGTTTCTGTTACCAATGCAACAGAGCCAGTGGTTGACGTCTGGTCTCTGGCGTCGGCTTGGCTTTGGCTTGGCGTCCAAGTGACCCCCTCTAATAAGCACTTAAGCTCTTTCCCGTAATTAACTTTATCACAGTGATTGGCAGACACCCGACGTTTGACCGTAAAACTTTATACCGAGTCATGAATCACAACACTACTTCACATTTAGAGTCTCATTCATCGATACCTTTTTTTACTAATTTTAAGTCAAAAGAGTCTACTTTAAAAAATTTCTTGATAAGGCCTTGATGGATGGAGTCGAAAGAAAACTGAAAGTACTTGCCAGTTCGCCTTATGAGTCGAAAAATTACTAACTTCTAACACAACAATTTTTATTTTGATCCATTTCACACATTCAGCATCCTCTGTAAACCTTTACCTGGCCATTGAAAGGCGAATAGCAAAAAGTGACCTAACTCAAGATCTTTGTCCTCTTTGCTGAAGGATGGTCGTCTGCAAGTAGGTGACAGTATTCTCTACATAAATGAGAAACCGGTGATGAACAGAGCATTCAAGGACGTGCTTCGAGTTTACCGTCGCGCCTCATCAAAAGCGGAATCCGGTATAGCCGCGTTGCCCTATTCTCCTCTGCGACCCATTCGACTAATCGTCTCACGATCAGTGAAGAACTGCGGTAGTTCCTCGCTGCCAACTTCAACGCACTCGACAACTGTGCCACAAAGCTCAGTTCTGCTTGAAGCCGCAAAACTTGCGGCTGATGTGAGGGAGGGGAGTGTAGGAGATATTACAACCCTTACTTTTATAGGATAAGTAGTTGTGCTTTTTGTGCTCATTTATCCTTACTTACACCATAGTGACATTCGGTAGATGCGTAAATCGGTCAATACTCACTGTCACATTTCAGAAGAGTCAATCTGTTTCAATGGCCACACCCACTACGACCAGTCCAGATGCAGTCCAATTCCATGAAGGTAATGTACTGCGTAGTGTTAACCATCAAACCATAGTTCCATGCATTCACTTTGAGTTCGCAAGTGGCATGAAGGCATTAGTTGCGTTCTCGCATGGTGTACACCGTAGATGATTCTGCTGTAGAATGGAGTAATTGAAAGCCAGTTCTTATTACGGCAAAAGTCCCATTGGAAGATGTGCAAATTGGCATTTCTGATTTTAGTTAGTTTAGAATGCAAGATCATCGTCAAATAGATTGGTGCACTGTTCAGGCCTCTACCATCCAAGGCGTCTAATTAAAGCGAAGATAGAATAGTGACCTTTGATGATTGCATCAAATAAAAAAACCATAATTTGGTTCACAACAGACTAACCTTAGTTCTCTTATTTCGTTCGCTCCTCTAGTTCTAGGTTTCTGCATGCATACAAAGTCAGCTCAAAACGAGTTTAATCCTACTAGCTACGTTTCGCTCTAAATTCTGTCGTGCCACAGTGGAGGAGGGCGAATGCAAAATTCCCGGCGTTGCGGATGGTTTGCTTTTCTAGTCAGTATAGCGAAATTTGTGTGTGTGACAGCTTCGATCAGTGCTAGTAGAGGAAAAACAGCGTAAATGTGAGCGATCCTGACTTATAGCTTCATGCTCTCCATTCAGTTATGCAGCAAACGGACCGCCAGTCGTTGACCTTAAGCAATGAAAGAACTTCAGAAATTAAGATGAAATTGGTGCAGACTGCGCTTACAGGCAGTGAAAATTACTTTTGGTTGTACATGTGAAATGATTCCAGTTACAACTTAGCCGCTGGAAGACTTGGAGACGATTAGTGATGCTTCATGATATGCGCACAGGCGATATTTTGGGAGATCACTTGATACTTGCGTATGGTGTTAATGAAATAGTGACTAGCGTCCCATCATTTTTTTACCGGCAAATAGTTGGTAATGCAATTTTCGCAGGACGTAAGTTAAAACATTTGTCTTCCATGATGTTTGCAAAAGTAGAGATGAACATTAAGCGAAGGATTGGTAATGGCTTGATCTCGTTAGATGATTTTTTGAATTGACCGCTTGCCACTCTTGATCATCTAACATATGTAATGTGATGCACTAATGCGCACCAATGTCCGCAAAAGGACATCCAATTCTTCTGTAGTGGAAGCGAGACAGCTTTGTCTCTCTGCTGAATGTATCACTGATCTGAGTAAAAATGTCGAGCCCAAAGGATTGCAATTACTGACTTACTCACAACACAACTATCTCTTAACTAACCGCGTTTAGATAACCCCACTCTTATCCTTTTGCTCCGTAATTTGTTTATTTTTTGGCCCTTTGAACTCGATGACCTCGTCTAATTGCCTCTCAGTCAATCCATTTTAAGGGGTAGACTTCCGAAATTCAAAAAGTCTGCTCCCGTTATTCCTTGTAGATACATCACTTCACATTGACGTATGTAAGACGGCCTCTGACGGTAAGCGGGTTTTAAGACGTGCGCCACTTTCAACGTCATTTGGCTAAGAGCTTTAACATCGGCTCGATTTGTTATGTAGCCGCGTTTATTTCTGGACCATTTGGATTTTCCTTAGCATTTCGTGAGTTTTGCTACCTCAAATCTTTGCTAACCGAGATTTTTCGACGCAACATTTTTACCTTTTTTGCCTTCGGATGCATTGAAAATTAAATCGGATAAGCCTATTGTGCAGTTGATGGGATGACAATTCACGTTCTCATGCACGTGTCTTCCTCACCTCTTACTACTTCTCTGTTAATGAGGGTGTAATTCTGCGATTATTGCGTGCCTTGTATCAGTTTTTTCCTCGTATTCCAAGCGGGCGTTAACCAAAAGCTGCCTGCATACAAAGCCGTCGCAGTTAGTTGGCTTGCTAAACCTCGAGCAAAACTCTCACCTTTGGCACTGGTGAGGCCCAGCTCGTCTACCCTTAGCATTCTGTCAATTTCAGTTCGCCTTATTAGAAGTGCCTTTAAGGTTACTTTTATCACTCTGACAGTCATAGTTACCATGTTTAAGCGTTAGTCCACATTCATGTTGAAATGTTTTATTACGCCTTGAATTTGCTCGAACCAAATCCACTTTTCACTAATCTTCTTTTTGCACAAATTGTTTCCTTTCTTCTCACTAAGTGAGATTGTTAAGGGCACAAATGCTTAAACATTTGGTCTGCGACAATTTTTTTTAATTTAAACCTTATGCTCACAACAATTCACTGCTACATGAGACACTATTTTGCACATTTTGGTGCGTACCATCATCTCAACTCACTTCGCAATCCACTCACAATCTACTCGTAGTCCCCCTTACTTAGCTAAACAGACGTTCTTATGCTTTTCAAGGTAACTGCAACAGCATTAATGGTTAGATGCTCTGCAAAAAGGTCCATTGAGTGATGCAGCGTCATTTCACTCCTTCGTTTCATCCATCCTACAAATGATTAGACAGAGTGTTTCATGTGGAACTTTTGCTTAATTATTAGTGAATGTGGACAATCAGATGGGCGGAGGAGTTCTTATTGAAGAAGCAGTCTCCGGTAGGTCCAAGTGCAATTATGTTAGCGAGTTCTCTTGTCTGATCTTCACTTGATTCATCTTTCCTTTGTGTAGATCCCGTTTCAGGAAATATAGAAACCTTGGATTCGCCTCAACTGAGTAAGTCCAGTTCTCGTGCTGTCGAATGCTACCACCGATCCAGCCACAGCGGAAATTGTTTGCCCTTGCTGAGATTAAGCTTAGTGGGCCAATATCTTATGCAAGAAAGTACATGAGCTGCTTTGGATCTCTCACTTTACCCTTATTGTCTCGTTTATTTTACCGACAACGTGATATTTCACCAAGCTTTACTGCATCATCGCCATTCTACTGCAATCAAGCAATAAATCTCCCACATTTGTCGGAACTGGAAGAGCCCTCTAATTGTTTTCAAAGAGCACAATTTTATCCGGGCATAGTTCTACAATTGTTTTTACTTTTAATCTGCTACTTCCTCCGAAGCCGTCATTGCGTGTGGAACTCCAATTGGCAGTGGGCCATGCACAAAAGCAATTCCAAAAAAGACCGCTTTTTGATAGTGAAATCTAACGTTTAGGATTAAAACCATCATGACTGTCAATAATAACACAAACAACTGCGAGTAACTCTTTTCTCGCGAATGTGGTAAGGAGCGAGTTGAAAGACAACAAGCCTCTAAACACCAGTCAAGGCAAATATGTGCAAGAGACAGGATGTAACTTAAAGGGATCGTCTCGTTAATACTGCCCTTCAATGTGTAAATCTCCTCATTTCCATCTAGGTGTTGATGAGAAGAATCCGGACAAAGCAGCGACACCTCCCAAAGTTAGTTCCGCAAATGGACTCTACCAAGCTTATCCGGCCAAGAGCGTTGCCCTCCAGCCAAATGGTTCAAAATGTCCACTTTTACTTTAACACCTTTCCGTTTGTCACAGCTTGAACGGCTGAATTTCTGCGCTTTTTGTAGGCAGAACTTCTGCATCGCATTCACTCAGCCAAGAAGAAAAAGTTGTACTACAAAATCGCTGGCGGACTAACTTGAACGATGGTGTTGAAATACTCGTAAGCCTATCTGTCATGTACCATGCATAAACGTATCACACTCCCTAGAAAATGGCTATTTAGTCTCCTCAAAAGCTGTTTCCTACGAAGTTTTGAGAGTTGCAATCCATTTCTGTCCAACAGTGAACATACCATACTCTACGAGGAGGAGAACATTTTTTAAGTGGCTAAACTCGCCTTATGGTGTGAGAAAAAGACAGTTGCCATCGCACCAGCTAAGACCGCGATGCGAGTAGCTTTTTGTCATTTTATGAAACATTCAAACCTCTTTAAAATGGAGAGGTTTGTTTTCTAATATTTCCATAGCAAATGCAACTTATAAATTAAAAAAAAACATTAATCAGCATTCCCGAAAGATTTTCTCAGCGATATGTAGAGTGGCTTCTTTTTCACGAAGAAGACGTGACTGTAAGTGGAGCACATCGGATGATTTCTAGTAAGGCATACCGTTTTAGCTATACCTTGAGGATCTCGATTAGTCGGACTGGTTTCGGTCATTATGCAATTTCACATGGTCTTAACTGAAATTTACGATGTGCAGAGGTAGAGGCATCCATTTCGTCCTGGAATCGTTTTCATGAATATTCCTTTCAACTTCATCTGAGACTATTCTTCAAATTTCCAACTGCTGATCATAGTAGGAGCTGCTTACCCTGTCACCAAACCGAGACTTTGACTTCGAGGTAGTTGTCTTTTTGGGCAAAGAGCTAATGCGCACATATATTTATTCAGAGGATCCCTTCAAAAAGTTCAAGGAGAGTCGAAGATGAATTTTCGCCTCCCCATTAGAGATGCATGTGTGTACGTAGTCTGAGCATACACGCGGATGAAAATTTTATCTGTTTCTTTGCATGGGATACTAATGCGGCATGTCAGCGTGCTACTACTTGTAAATTTGTATGGACATAAAGGATTGGCTCTAGACAACTCAACAAAGCTACTTCAAGACTACACCTCACAACTTTCAAAGATTCACCTACCCGGCACTATTATGAATAAAGGCGATTACTATTTATTACAGTACTTACCTTAAGAATAGCTGCATTTCCTCCACCAAATGCTATCCCACGTTCGTCTCCAAGTGAAGAGTTATAAGGTTCTTCAGTACTATAATATCGAATTCTTAATTGAAATGGGAGTTTGATCCAGGTTGGAGAGTACACTCTCCCCTCTGCAAATGCTCCTCTTGGAATATCGGTGGAGACGCTGGCTAGCATTGACAAGATGGGTCGACAGACAGACTTCAGACACCGGATCGTCGAAGTACACAGCGACGGTGTTGTCGCTACACAAACCGAGTTAAAACCAATGGACGAAGTTTTGGAGGTAATTTCTCAAACTTGCCATTTCTACTCTGCTTCCCATACTTCTTTTCTGTAGAAAACAACGAAATATTGGGCAATTGCCTCTCCCCTTAGGAAAAAAATAGTCAGGTTTGCGTTAGACACGGAGCGTCGCCTATTGGCTACGGAAGACCATTTAGTGGGTGATGTTAAAATTAAAGTTGAAAGTAAAGCCAAATACTGTCAATGCTGCTTTATCCATGTATGACTGCGTACTGATATCCTACTACGTCTTCCTTGTTTACAAGACGAATGTTCTGTGGCAAACCCATTTGCAGCAAAACACAGCATTCCGGTTTACTCAAAGTAGTTAAGGGTGGTTTGCAGTATAAATGCAAAGATCTTGCTGAATTTTGCGTATCCCTACAAATGATGTGAACATACAGGTCAGCGGTTTAGCTGTAGTGGGGAAAGATAGCAATTTCCTGGCTATCACCTTGCAAAAGCCGCCAATCTCAGGATACTTAGTATGCAGCCGATCACCGGAGAGCATCTCCGATCAGGCACAATTTGAGCCTACCTCCAGTGGGGACAAGATGTCGGTCATCCTTAGGAAGTCGAGTACTGAGATCGTTCAAAGTGACACCGCCGCAAATGACCTTGAAACAAGCAATGAGAGGGCTGAGGCTGTGTCAAGCTCTGGCAGTAGGATCTCCAAACTCAGACGGAAATTTGAGGCGTCTTCACAAGAAATGACTTCAACACAACCGAAGGTGTTGGTAGGAGAGAAGGTCGGTTTGCTTTTCGTTTTCAAATCACACACGTACATGTTAAAAAAGTGACAGTTGATTAATGTTTATGCGAAAACAGTTAGAAAATTGTTTCCTGACATGTATTCCAGTTGTATAGAAGTGGAAATAAACTTCAAAAATACCGTGAATCGATAAAGCTATTCAAAGCCTATTTTTTACACCGTCCGCTCTTTTTCGACTAAATTAGCGTGCTTTTAAGAATTGTCTTCCCGAAAAATTTAATTGAACACCTTAGTGATTCAGGCATTAGATGAAGCATTACTTTGCGAAGCCTCACTGCATTTCTCGGTTTTAGACATTATTAGCATGACAATAATTAACATCTACTTAGCTGTGCATTAGCCGACAGACACTGGATCCAATCATAAAACGGCCACCCACCTGCGGGAGCTCCATGCCGAGACGCTTGGCTCTTCAGACGCTTCGTTCAATTTGGCCAACGATTCAATCGAAATCGTCATTAATAAGGTGAAAGGCGAACTAATCGGTAAGGCAAATACATTTCCCAAAAAACCCACTTGCCATATATCAATCTGTCTCACTACCTGCGATGCCAAACACCGTAGCCTTACGTCCTTATACTAGATAAGCTGAAAACATTTAGTTTAAACTTTGCGAATGCATTGTGAAATCAGATTTTTCGTTCGATTAGAGGTAAAGCTGCTTTTGAGCTTCTTCTTTTGCGTGTCTTAATGGTGAACAAAGAGCATAAAGGTAACATATGGACGATAGTTTAAACGCACGACAGTTTGCACAGTTGACGTTGTACATGCGCAATGCTTAGCTATTGAAAGTACGAAAACGCTAAATCGCATTCTTTGTTGCGTTTTATGTTTGTTTTAGCGTCTTCAGGTTAATTTACTGTGTGTGTGTCTTGTAATATGTTGAAGGAGATGAGAAAAGTCATCCTTAGAATAGATCATCGGTATTCCTCCCAGTGCTCTGCTTAATGGAGAGTTTTATTGAAATTAAAAATGTCACGTGACTTTTCGAAATCCTCATTTTGCTAAGACCAAACCCAGGAAAGTTTCTGGCTTCCTGTCCATGTAGGCGTGACGTTGGGTGAGAAGGACGACACAAGTGGAGGTTTCACAGTGACGGACATCGCTCCAAACGGAGCTCTGCGCCGCACACTCAGTTCCGTCGCTGTCTACCGCAAGGTGCACTTCAACGTAGGTGACGTGGTGACGGAGCTCAACGGCAAACACCTCCGCCACGCTACCGTCTTTGGTGTCCAAAGCCTCCTATGGACCATGTTCTCCCTAGAGGGCAACGTTAGGTGTGTGTGCGTGTGTGATGACATCGAACCGCCGCCTACTGTTAATGCGTTAAAAACCTCAAACATGCAGCCTACAATTAAGCAAAATTGTTACTAATTTAGTTTAGGTGTATGAAAACATGAAGCATCACAAATGCAAGAGTGTAAGAAAATGGATTACGAAAGATTCTACTTTTAAGCATTAGTTCCTGTAGTTGTTATGTGAATACAATGATATGCACATTAGCACACTAACTTGTCGAAGCATAAAAATGCAGTAATGGATTAAGAAAAAAAGCAGATGAAGGAAAAGCTGAATGAGGATAGCACTCAGAGCTCCCATCCTGCAGTTCGAGCAACCTATCTTTCTGTTGACTTGTCTGTTTTGTCTAATTGTAAGCCCTTCCCCCAACATTTAACAGATACCAATTATCTAACACCAAACACTACCATGAGACCGCTATTGCTTACCGATTGCTTCCGCTCTTTGCTGTTGTGAGGATGGTTCTGATTTATGCTAGAGTGCAGTGTTTTTGCAATATGAACTCGTGGTACTTGAGATGTGTCCGCCACTCTTGCTTCTGCTTGCACTCCATCATCATTCACAAGCTTAGAATCCCGATCTCTCCTGTGGCTTAATAAACTTTCACTCAAAGCACATTTTAATCACCAAAAGGGCACTCAATGCCCATACAACACTTCTCACTACAAAGTTCAAAACTGGCAGCTATAGAGGGTCATTAAGGGCATTAGTCCAGATGAGGGGTTAAGTTGGCTGCCCTTGTAGCCCTATATTAATGTCTAGTCTTTTTTACTACCAGGATGCCTGGCATAAAACTATCGTTTAGAAGTATTGGAGGCATTCTTTCCGCATGAAAATATTATACTCTTCTTTTTGTGAGAATTTTTCCCTAATCTACATACATCATGTCCGTGTACTGTTCATCATTATAGAACTAAAATATTTAGATTCACTAATCTAACAAGCCGTGACTCCATACTTATGCATCTCATCATAAAGTAAAGAAATCAAACAAAGAACTAGTCATCCGAGGTTATAGTTAATGCGTTACACTTGGACAATTCGTTTCCAGCCCCCGTTGCCGTCCTGCTGCCTTATTCGTGTTCCATCAGCTCGTGTGTGCGTGCATGGGAAGCGGAGCCCTCAGTCCGATTCTACTGGTCCAAAATACGGCAACCAATACCAAAGATAATGTAACCTAGGTTTCTTACTAATCTTCTCATCCAGGAAAGCAGCAATCGGGAACCGCCCTTTCACGTCATATTACTTGTTTTCCATTCTAAGCCCTCATATCACTGACGCCACGTACGTTGAATTACTTGACTGGTGTAATGCCATTGTGATGCGAAATTAATTGCAACCTCTCAATCTTTGCAATTCATATTACAAAAAAGACCTTTCCTTTGGTTTTACTTTAATATATTCGATCTTGCTTTGCGGCAAGGCACGCCCTTGTGCACTGACTCAACTTCCTTTACAGTAATTTCTGCAACTTTTCGTGATCGAGCTGTACTAAGACCTTAGTTCAATATTTCAGCCAACCTACTTCTAAGAATTCGAGCCCTGTATGCCCAGTTAACTTACAGAATCCGCAGCTATTACCGAACAAATGACTGAGCTATTTAGATTGCCACTTATAGCACGCATTCTAACTACTTAAGTTTGGTTTGCTTTTGTGCAGATCAAAAAAAGTTCAACCTCGTACCACTTTTTTTAAATCTCCTTGTGGAACTTGCATCACCATATCAACTATTTGCCGCTAGCGCCTTCAAATGAATGTTAGGAACTATTTTTCTGGATAATAAAGAGGGCACAATGGTTATACACAGTTTGGATTTCGCTGCTGACTTCTAATTTTCCTCAGCGAATACATCCCTTACTCTACTGCCTGTGTATGCATTTTTAGCCAAAATAGCAAATAACTGCACAACTGGGTCGACGTCAAAACTGCATGACTGCATTTCACAAAAAATATCACTTACTATCTCACCTAAGTAGTGAATAATGATGAGGCGTTTGCCACCACCCTTGAGAAGACAATTGCTTTTTCCAGTGACCGCGCCACGAAAATTCGATGAAACAAAGGCTCTGTAAAGAAAATATATTTACAATCTTCTCCTTAATCTTTGTCAGTCTGTCGCGGGAACACACCTTCTTTTGGAATCGCCGTATGCGTCCGAAGCATGTTTCATTCTCATATGTTTCGTGTAGTGAATTACCGAGTTTACCAATAAATGCGTTGTTTTGATAATCTTATAGCCGCATATGGACGCAGCTGTTTCATCTGAGAAGAAGAGACACAAAGTTTACTGCATCATGAGTTTAGTGGACGACTACTGTTATCGTACATCGAAACCTGCTGTAGCCGATGTATAATTAAGGTAACCACGAAACGTTCCCTAAAGAGAATGAAAAGGGAATTCGAGTTCGTACAAAAAGTGTTTCCACCTTCAACCCCTTTTATTAATGGGCAACGTCAACTTCTGTTTCCAAATATGTTCTACTGAAATGATGAGTAACATTGCATTTTAGCCTTAAATTTAAGTCCAAGATGTCAAACAAACCACAACACACGTTGCCAACTGTGGTCCACGAAGAATGCCTTCCTGATAAGAGTAATGCATCCGGAACCAACGTTTCAAAGTTCAGCGCATTCTCCACTTCCAGCAGTTCTAGGCTATCAAGTTCAGGTCCCTTTCTATATGACATTGCACCACCAGCGGCTAAAAAGAGTCCAGTGCATGTCACTGACAGTTCAACAGAGGAGACACAGACCTCACCGAAACCACCTGAGAGGCCGAGCGAGGCTGTGCCAAATAACAATAACTCACTCACCAGATGTGCCAGTCCAAATCGTGTCGAGTAAGTTATGTATGGTTTTATATTCGCGCTTGACCTAACGATAACTGAACCAATCAGTTGATACTGATACTTTACCTAATCATTCGTTGCAAAAGGAATTTACAATGAGTGGCACTCTTTAACTTGCTCTTCCTTCGCACTGGAGGATTGAGCGCATAAGCTGATTGCCGATTGTATTAAGCTAATATCATGGTCCAACAACGTAAGTGAAAGTTGCTGTCTGGGTGATGAGGTAATTAGAAGCAAATACTAATGGCATTTGCTATGTTTGGAGTACTACTGGAGATTACTCAAGAGTATTTAAATTTGTCCCGATTTTTTAATTGGAGGTCCAAGATGCATTTTGGAGCACGAAGGCAATGCAAAATATTGCCTAAATGTTTAGCTTCGATTAGTCGGAACAAGTATAACACAATTACTTACCATTATTAGTTGTTACTCCTTAAAGGTAAAGGTGTTCATTGAGGAAGACTTCTTTGCAAGCGCTGTGTTAGTTATTCGCTTTGGGTCATACCTTCTTGACCAATCACCGTTGTCTATATTTCTACTCGACATCTCCATTTGGTGTAGCTTTCATTGCATTTAGTAGCATCGAAATATTCTCACAAAATTACTTTAACATATAAGTGGACATTCAAATGACGATTGGTAAGAATGATGGCTGCCTTAATTGTATGTCCATCTTTTTGTGTGTCCTGCACCCTTCCCAGCCTCCTCCATTGCTTGCACACGCGCCCTTTTGCAAGATCCGCCGTTCTAAATGGCTAATCATCATTCATTCCTCTTCGTCGTTCACTCTCCGTTGTGATAATGTCTGCTGGGTTGTTAGGTGGATGAACACTAGTTTATGCTACATGAGTTAATGTTACCGCAAGTTCTAAAACAGGAACCAGTAAAAGTAATCAAAGAATTTGCTTTGATTGCTTGGTACCCAAGTGTAGCCACAGACTTGAACGAAAGAATAAAAGAGCGCAGGTTTGAACATCACGTCTGGATGCCCTCCATCTGCCGTACATTAGAATGGCGCAAAGTAAAAAGAAACATTAACATTTATCCTCACTAGTGCCTGATAATTTCTAAAACCAAGTAGTATGGATGATCAAAAGGCGGTTGTTGAGAGGTGTATCGCAACAGTCTGTGCAAACCAAAGCGGCAAATATTACCTCGTTTTTAACCACTCAATCTTTGTCGTGCGTGATTTTGCTATTCGTGCTACGATCTAACTAGCCACAAAGTGAACTCTGATTTTGTAGCAGAAAAGCACAATTATAGAGAGCACATTCTTGTGTTCACAACTGCAGTTTAGCTCGCATGTGCCTCTTTAGGGTGCCACCTCATGGTTTTATAAAACGCATGGTTGAACGGTATATGCAAGCTACAAGGGACACCTGAAACTGATGCAAGAAGCGTAAGCCCCCTCAACTACACTATTTGATCTTGTGTTGGTTCAACTCACGTTCTTTCTTTCCTTTCATGTTTTATTGCCTCCATTCTCCCGTCCATCTCATCGCACGCCTCGGCGTTGTGCACATGCATGTGTGTGTGCCCGTGTGCTCAGTCTTCGCCGTTTGTGAATCTGCAGGCGTCTCTTGCAACCCACATCAATTCCATGCTTTCGGTTTATTTTTACCCGCCCTAAATTAAGTTGCATTGTTCCTTTACTTACATTCATGCCCTTTATAATCTTAAGCACACCTATGATTTAAATGCAAAGAAGTTTGCAGACCCTTCTCTTATAATACAATTTCCAGGTTTTATTTAGTGACAGGGTGTAAGTTTTTAGATCAAATCATGCAGACCTTTCGAAAACTTGTGACCAAGATGTTTTGCTTGGCTCAAGACAATAGGAAAATTTTGCTGTCACGTTCCCACTATGTCCTTCTACGTGCTCCTGCGTTTGATGCTAGTAAGACAGCAGTTTGAGCTCCAGAAAATTAACTCACCCTTGGAAATTTTAGTGACTTTACACCAAATTATCGTTTGCAAAGTGGACATTCTTGGGAAAAAATGGGAGTCGACAATATTCGTCTAATGTCAGGCTTGTGGTGGCTCAAGACGCTCACAATTTTAAAATGGCAGGCAGTCTAGGTGAAGTGGCTCTTTTTGAACTGAAAGGGTTCGTGTCGAGTTGGAGGGGCAACACAATTTATGATCACTGTTAGGTTTCACATAATCTGCGTAGACCTGATTTGCATGCTGCAATAAAGGAATTTCTTTAGGTTATAGGTGCACCT